CAAGAGTTGACTCGACGTCAAAAACTTCAGTATTTACGAACGACAGTCATAGAGTAAAATCAATCTAACAAATTTCGAACGCAAATGAGTAAACTCTACTCCACAGAGTGCCTATTGGAATGCACCCCAGGGATTAGGATGTGTAGTTTTTGATGTCATCAATCTGAGCCAGGAGTTAGGAATGTTTTGACGTAGTTTTCATGTCATCGCTACCACGAATATCGCCCTATCACAAATTAAAGTGCCACTTCACACCCAGTCGTGCATAATTGCATTCATAAACGAAACTGTGAACTATTTTTCATCCATATGGGTATAGTCGTGCTTTTAAGAGAAAGAGCATTATTTTTTCAATCCGATTATTTGCCCAATTATTGGAAGCGACTTTTCATCAAACATAATTATCGTCATACACATGTTTCGAGAGGGTGAAATGGTCTCGAAAGAACATCTGTTCAAAGCAATTACATGTTTGAAGTTGATTACATTTATATTCGATTTGTATTCAAGGTTTTCTCACGCATTTAGTGCGATTTCTTGCTAGAGATAATGGAAGTAAAAGATGTTTCCAGAATTGCCTGAAAACCCCACTAGCACTTTATATACCTACATCATTACGGAAGTGTTTTCGCTGATGTATCATTCGGTTAAACTCTTCTCATGAATATGAAATTTGTTTTTTCTAGATTATGAATGATTCATGTCGTGCAATTTCATGTTCAGATCGATTTAACTCCGAAACTGGCCATTTTTTGTAAAAATAACTGCTATCAAAAAAAGTAAGTGCTGAAACACACTATGCTGACTTTGTTCAATTGTTCAAGTATTTCACGCAAATTACATGGTACACCCTATAGGATTCAATAACGTTCAATTCCACCACTCCCCCTATAGATCTTATCGCTGTGCATATTAGTTGCATAGATTAGTTGATAGCCGGTATAGGGCCATTGAATTCTGATAAAATAATTGTTTTTGGCGAATGCTCCATATTCGGATGTAATTATTGTTTTTGACGAATGCTCTTTTTCAATTCGCCAAATTTAGTGTTGTAAAAATACAATATATTCAATTTAATTTCTTGCAACTCAACAAAGTAATATTTATTGAAATCGCGCATGCTGTTTTTGGGCAAAGATGAACATAAGTTCACTCAAATATAGTAAGTCAATTGACGATATGTATATTGTTCCTGAAAAAAGCATCGTCTTTCGAAATGATGCAATGCAATATACGTATTCATTATTGTTGTTTGTATACATACATATTTTTTACGCAACAATAAAAATTCATACAGTGAAGGGATAAATACATTGAATTAGAAAAAAAAATCATATTTTTTTATCTTCTGGATACCATTTTTCAGGAAATATTCGGCGAATGTTACGACAGCTTGCTGTCTAGTTATTTTGCGAATGACATCATCTACCAACTCTATCGAATGTCATGAGCGAATCGACATATATTGCCTGCAAAAATAGTATCACGAGTTTTATCATTCGTTTGACTGTTTCATGATTAAATCAGACAACAAGTGATAATATATAAATTCGTGCTTTCAAAACTGACGTTATGAGTGCCGAAAATATGATCACTGAAGAACGAGTTTGGTTGTCCACGTGTAGTTCAATTCGACTCCTTCATCAGTATATAACAAGTCCGATGTTTTTTATTCAACAAATACTATCAGTGCAAGATGCAATACAAGAATAACGAGAAAATGAGTGATCCTGATTGGTTTTCGAACACAAGAGTAGAATAGTCGAAGGAAAAACTCCTTTCACATGCTAATTGAGTGCGCCAAATTACAGTTTTCTCCACTTAATCTAGCATTTTAAACTGTAGCTAATGTATGCATATATATGTATAATGATTTCTTCACCTGAAAGTTATTACATATTTTCGAAAAGTTTCTATTGGGCACCACATGTACGATTTATTTTCCATCTTATATACCTACAATTATCATCTGGATTTATACAGGGTGGCATTGAAATAAGCGCAAATATTTCAAGCCCTTTGACGCATACTATCGAATGGTACCAATGAAAAATATAGGGATCAAACTAAAATTTAGGGGTAGACCCCTTTTTCCAGCCAAAGTTCTACACTGTAGCAATTCTTCGTTTTAGAGATACATTGATTATTCAAAAGTCATTTAATCAGTTTCAATGGAAATTGTTGGTTTTTAAAGAGTAACATAGATTCAAAATACTAATAGCAGTGGAGTCGAATAACATTGTACGCCACTGGTTTCAATGTGGTCCATATTTTCATCATATTGAACAATTAAAGACACAACTTTCTTCTATTTCATGTTACTTTTCTATCTGGCTCAGTTCTTGAGGAAACAATCAAAATTTGATTCGACCCCTACTTTTAATGTGTCCTCTCAACAGACCTATTGAAATTACTCAATAACGTCAATGGAATTGAATAGGAATATTCTCAGATATATTTATGAACACAAAAAAATGTATATATATTGAGAAAAACATTGAGAATTCGCATTCTCCATGTGATGAAAATATTAATTCTTTCTCGGTTTATTCAACAGAAAACAACTACTTTCCTGGCTATATGCCATGACGAATATTGAATTACATCTATTGAACACACACGATAAGAATTTGAAAACAAAATCTTCTGAAGTAGAGAATTTGCATTCTCCTTCATATAAAGATATGCATATAATATAATTCTGAATATTCAACAGAAAACAACTACTTTCCTGGCTATTTGCCACGTCGAACATTGAATTATATCTGTTGAATATCCAAAAACAGAGCATGAAGAATCAAAATAATGATGTATTATGATATAAAAATATTACTTACTAATATGTTCAGTATTGAAATGAAAATTTGAATGTATAGGAGAAGTATACTTGTATGAACTCTAATCTTCATGAGCTTGGAACTTACAAAAAATCATTCGTATCAGTGATATGGGAATTATATCTTTTACAAACAGGTTATATGACTTCATATATATGTGTTCATAAATATATCTGAGAATGTTCCTTTTCAATACTTTTTTTACCCAATCAAAAGGGGTTCAAACTTGAACGATGGAAACTTGTTTTTTCATAGAACTTAATCGCAGATTCGTGATTAGGTTTTCTCAATTCAGAATTTCTTTCCACGTGCTGTATGATGAATATCAATTTATCATGCATACAAAAAACGTTAATAGGCTCATTTTGAGACTTATTTGTCAGTAACCAACGAGACTGGAGCTCGTACTGGAGTATGCCGACATGAAAGCTTATGCCGTTAGATCATGAAAAAAAAACAATTAATAATACTCCAACTTCAACATCCTTCCTCCGAGCAAGTATCTCAAAATCTAAGCCAGTGAGGACACAAGACATTTTTATATAAACTTTTTTTCCTGAAATATGACATGGATTTACCTCCTTCGCATTCATTCATTAACACCCTGTACCGGGTGACACAGGGAACATGTAGAAACCTGTAATTTTTTCATTTGGAGAGATAAAAATTCGAAATTCTCAAGGGTTATATTATCGATGATGGCGCTTCCCTTGAACCCAAAGATAATTTCCTTCAACCATCTGTTTGATTGGAAGTAGACCCAACTTTTTTTTTTAAATGACACCCTGTATATTTCTGTAGCCTATCTTATTCGCCTTGAAATTCTCTATTCAATTATTCATCACAATTTGGTATTTGTTCGATAATTGGCTGTTAATAGTTATTTAACCAACTAGTGTATTAATCGCCTTTTAATATACAAGTTGGTTACGAAATTTTTCCGTCGACTATATTTCTCATTTCTCCTGCAATGAAGAAAACCTGGTTCGCGAATTCATCATTCATCCGGAAAGAATCACCCAGTAGCCTTGTTACTGACATTAGTGACATTTGACATTTGTCGAAATGATCAACATAGAAAATAAATTCCTTGTGTTAGAAAAACAGGGATTGAAATCGTGTCAGAAACTTGGAAAGGCGAACCCGTTAACGGAAAATCTTCGATGAAATCCATATTTTCGATTTAAATGCAGATTCCGTAAGTTATAGCATAAACAATGAATGCACGCGTTGTATGTTTGGTTGCCTATAGAACAATCGTGCATTAATAGACAAATCGTTCATTAATAGGGGTCATTAATGAACGATTTCATATACATTAAACTTGGTCGTTAATACGAGGTCGACGGAAAATTACATTTTATTGAAATGCATGAAGTTAGTTGTGGCCAGAATACAATGACATTTCGATGCTTGATAGGCTTAGAAATTTAAAAATCATTACTTAGACGATATTATCAGAATATTTTCCATACCCTCATCGGTCCCAGAAGATTTCCAATAAAAAAAAAATCATCCAAAAATATCTCATGATATTGAGAAAACTATATAAGATATATTTGCCATGTAGCCATAATATGATCATCCATTTGGATACTGAAACTGAAATTGTTGTAATAATTGATGTATCGTTCTAATATCGTGAGTTAATTTCGGATGATTTTTTTAAACTAAATGAAATTATTGACAATCTTCTGGGACCGATTAGGTCATGAAAAATGTTCTGATAATATCGACTAAGTAATGATCTTAACTTCATGTATTTCAATAAAATGCAATTTAACAGGCAATTGATGAACGAATATCAATTTATGATACGTAGTTGGAAAAAAATTGGTTCTATATACTTCCAATCAAACAGGTGGTTGAAAAAAATTGTCATTGGGTTCAAGGGAAGCACCATCATCGATAATGTAACACTTGTGAATTTCAAATTTTCATCTCTTCAAATACAAAAACTACAGGCTGTCACATGTCTCCAGTGTCACCCGGTATATACATAAATGAAAAATTGAAAAAAAAATCAAATTTCAAAGTTTGGGTTCCCGATCATATTATCAGAGTTTTTTGTATACAAATTCCTGTGTGGAATTTGAAACAAAGTCTGATAATTGTAACTAGATGGAAAGGTCAATGGGCATGAAAAAAAAACTGTGAACTCACTCTTTTCGCGTACGTATTTCGAAGATGGATAGTACCTATAGTACCTGCTACGTGAAACGTTCCTGAAAAAGGATCAACGCCGTACGTTCACGGACGTATCGTGCTTCCGTGCTTTATTTGTCGGCTTCATCGACTCGACAGCATCGAAAATTCGCGCCACTCGTGTTGGACAACATCTTAGTCCTTGTGTCCTAGCTCGTCGATCCTTCGAACGATGTTCGCGACAGACTGCGGCGCGAATCCTGCTCCTGCTAGTCCTGCTGTCCCCGCCAGATGCTCACACTCCGGACTCCTGCCAATTACTAGCGTCTAGAGCTAGGGCGCATCAAACAACCGCGAGCCATGAGGGAATCAAGTCTACAGAATATTTCCCTCATATCCCAGGGCCCAGACAGAACAGAATATTTAAACAAAGGTTGGTTGTGTGTACTTTGTAATATTCAAAATATTAACAAACGAAGGCTTTAGTACACCGTCTTATTACAAGCAAATTCTCAAACGTTTTCGGCTACAAGCCATCATCAGGAGTAATTTCTGAAAGTGAGAGAAGATTAGAAAATCTGAATTGAAGTTATGTTATAGGTTAATGAATCTGATAAATTATTATAAAGTTCTACTCACTTGTCAGAGTTTTTACAAAAGATCAAAACCTAAAAGAACATCATTATGTGCTCAACACTGGAAAAATCAAGTTTTCCGAGAAAACTAAATGCATTGTTTAAAATTATTCATTTCATTTTTAATTAATTGCTTCATCGGTCTTTTCATCAAATATAGAGACTGCGAATTCTCAATTCATATCTTTACATATATACCGGGTGTCCCAGTATACCTGTTCCAATAGATTATCTCAGCCATTTCGAAAGATGAAAATTTGAATATTACATGATCTACTACAATTCTAATAATTTGAAATTATTATTGAAGTCAAAATCGAGCTTACCAAAATATCGTAGCCTACTGCAATTCGTTCAATTTGAAATTTCAATTGTCGTTTTGTCCATCAAACCAAATTTAAAATACGTGTGAAACGGTAATCTTGAGTAGAAATTAAAAATTGAAAAAAATATACAGGGTGCCATTTGAAATAAAAAAGTTAGAGTCACTTCCGGTCAAACCGGACGTGTCTTTCATTTTTTGTTTTTCCCAGTTGAAGCTTCCTTGAACGAATTGAAGATCATGAAATTTTCAAATTTTCATTTTTCGAAATGGCTGAGATAATTCATTGGAAAAGGTATACTGGGACACCCGGTATATCACGTGAGATCAATTGCTAAAAGTGCATCCCAAAAACTTGGTTTTCTGTTTCGGGCCAGGAGCTATTTCACTTCCAGTCGCAGCTGCTTATGATGAATATAAGGCACAGATCCGACCGGTCCTGGAATACTGTTCCCATATTTGGAGTGCAGCACGTACCCAAACATACCCTGAAACTGTTGGATTCTGTCCAAAAAAGGGCAATTCGTCTCGTGGGTGATGCCTCGCTCACAAACTCACTCACTTCTCTGGAACACCGTAGAAAAGTTGGCGATCTGGCTCTATTTTATAGATATTTTCATGGACGATGCTCTTCTGAAATATCAGCAATTGTTCCTCCCTTGGCAGTCCCCTCGAGATTAACCCGTCGAGTTGAGGCTTCGCACCCCTTCGTGGTCACTTTGGAGACCTGCAGAACATCTCTTTCCAAATAATCGTTTATCCAATAACGAACAGCGAGGCTCTGGAACACATCGCCAAGGGAGGTGTTCCCCTAGGCATATAACCTCCAGAAATTTAAGAAGAACACCAATTTCTGCCTCATTTCCCTCAGTTCTCACGATGTTCTCTGAACATTACAGGATATCCCTTTTCGTGGGAACCAGAACATTAAAAAAATATATTCAATTTTTTATTGTCATAATTTTATCGGAGAATATTCCTTTTCAAGCATAATAAGGTTAATAATGATAAACAAATTATTAGTGTTTCACTGCAACGTTTCTCCCGCGCGAGATTATTAGATGCGCTCTATCTGTAGACGCTAGTCTGCCGATCGAGCAAACCCCGTTCGTATCACACGCGTTTTTCGCGCACGCGTTACCCCTGCCTCGATTGATAACATTTTTTCATTTCTTCGTATTCTCGAAAACGTCCAACGCAGGTCGACGATGCGATGATAATTTATTAATCGCCGAAGATCTCCGAAAAGTTTTCTCATTACTTTTTTGTAATGGATTTCTTTCACAGCGTTAGACGGGTTTTATAAAGGGTGATTCATTTAGTGCTTAAGCAATTGAAATTAAATCGCACACAAGATAAATTGTCGTCTAGCAAAGCTGAAAGAGCATTCAACGACAGCTAATTTTTTTCAAATAACGATGGTCATTGGGCTTTAGTTCCTTCATAAATCTGACGTGTGTATTTAGATCTATGGTTCCTTCCTGCACAAATTGAATTTTCTACGGATTCAAACACAACTCGTGTCGATAAAAATCCGTCAAGTCGATCCATACCTGTTGCTGCCAACGACGTCTACAAATTCGGGTTATCTCGAACACTTCTCACAGATCAAAATTAACAGATTTTTCACAGGATTTGCTCTTGGTGCATTCAGCACTGCGAACTCCTCTTCAAATTACCTACACGTAATCCACGCCGAGTTTTTTAACCCTCCAACTGAACAATGTCTTTGATACCTACTTGATGAATTTTCATAATTTCTCAACGTCCTTGTGCCGTTTAATGTTCCATGTTGTTTTGTAACAATCTATCCTAGAAAAGTGTCCAGAGAGAACGATTTTCACACATACATTGCTGCCTCTAATTTCCATTCAAGTAGTACTAGATGGGTTGAATCAATCATTTTCGTTCGACGTAAACTATTTTCAAAAATTCAAATCTCAATAATAGAAGCGTACAGGGTGGCTGGAATTCGAGGCTCATCATTGGGATCTCGTAAACCGTAAGAGATACAGGGTCCGTTATATAAATAGTGGCAAAGTTGCGCAATTTGAAGCTGATCAAAATGCCGCTTCAAAAGTTTGGAAATTCCGAATACTTCCGAAGATATTTGAAAAAAACCGAATATCCGCGATTTCATTTTCATTTTTTTCTGACTTTATTTGGAGTGATGTCAAAATGAATATCATATTAGCATTGCCACTTTTTCTGCTCTATCCAATGGCATTGATAGATTCATGATCCGACGTTTCGACTTCGAGGAGCCAAAAAAAAATGTTTCGTAACTAAAAATCTCTAATTCCAATTCTGAATCAAACGACATATATAATACTTTGCAAATATCCTACGTTCCGGACCATAAAATTGCGCAACTTTGCCATGATTTGACCGACCCTGTATCTCTTACGGTTTACGAGATCCCAATGATGAGCCTCGAATTCCAGCCACCCTGTACAGTGCAACCCATTTTAATTGAGACTGCCTCAATTTTCTCTTTTGGGGTATGGCTTTGGAGACAAGACACAAACTCATATAATTTTCATATTTCTGTAAGAAGAAAACAACGCCCTTTTCTTCTTACAGATCTTCTTCTTTTTATAAATTTGCTGATGATGAAGGATTAATCCTTCGAAACATGTCCTTTTGTCCATGACCTTTGGTCATTATTAAATTGTTTATGTGGTGGAGTTGTGACTGTAAGTTCTTTCACCTCTCCTGACAAAGATTTTGTATTCTCATCCATCTCGATACAAATACACAATCATTATTGAGTCTGTTGATATTGTTTCCACGGTATTATTTTTGAGAAATCTTGTGATTGGGGTTCAAGAGGGAAGAATAACTAATAATCCCTCGTCAATATTCCCACAGGGCATTGTTCTGCAAAAACCACAATAATACTTACATCATAATTAGTCGCTACGCTCGTGACATAAACTTGACCTTCGTCTTTGATATGTAAATTTATTTTTAATAACTGTTTTATCATAACTCATTTGACATTAAGAAAACTGAAAATTGAAGATACCTGTTTGATTAATTATTTGTCCACGACTGTTATATTTCCTCAAGCAAAACGAATGCCATGTTTCACACCAAAGAATGATGGCGGTGAATAACCATTATTCACTGGTCTTAAGTTCCGTATATGTTATATCGCGTACCCTAGGAACTCTAGATCAGTGAATTATGGTTATTCACTGGTGTGAAAAATGGCTACCGTTTTTCTTCAAGAAGTACATACATGTATAATGAATATTTTATACAAGAGTCGTGGATAAAATTTATTATTTTCTTGAAAACGAATCAAATTAGGATATGATATGTTTCTAGGAACTTTTAGTCCTAAATAATCAAGTCAAAGAATCAACATCTTCAATATGTAAGTACATGACATTTATGAACACCCTGTTTATTAGGGGGAACAGAATTGGGAAATCATTGCAACGATGATGTTTCTCCATTCTCTCTGCCTCTACAAGGTGATATATGGAAAAAATAAGAGACAAGATAGACATACGAAAAACTCCGTTTTTTATATCGAAAAGTCAATAAAAAATGCTTCTTACTCAAATGACGACTCGCTACGGGATTATACCATAACGTGGGTTGGACTCCCAATAAATCGAGGCTTCTTCATACTTCATTAGTATCGAGTTACAGTCTCGTATAGTACATAATCTGAACATGCTTCTTTACAAGAGATCCACACTATATCGATCCCTGTACGAATCCAAACATATACATGATGTTTTTTAAATATGTGTAGGATATTCAGGGCTGCGTAACTTATATTGAAACAAGAGAGAAAGTTTCTATGAACTATATTTATACGTTATTCTTCATCGAGAAACAAGAAACAATATGCGAAAGTTGAATGCCGCGATATATTTATTAAAGTTACAAGCAAATAACGGATGAGGATGAATATTGTAATACGAGGAGCAGCCGAGGATTATAACAATCCGTTATTTACGTATCGGCCGTGTATTTTTTTTATGTTCTAGTTCTCACGAAAAGGGATATCCTGTAATGTTCAGAGAAAATCGTAAAAACCAAGGGAAATGAGGTAGGAATTAGTGTTCTTCTTAAATTTCTGGAGGTTATATGCCTCGGGGAACTCCTCCCTTGGCAACATGTTCCAGAGCCTCGCTGTTGGTTGTATGAACGAGTCTTTGGAAAGAGATGTTCTGCAAGTCTCCAAAGTGACCACGAAGGGGTGCGATGCCATAACTCGACGGGTTAATCTCGCGGGGACTGCCAAGGGACGAACAATTGTTGATATTTCAGAAAAGCATCGTCCATGAGAATATTCATAAAATAGAACCAGATCGACAACTTTTCTACGGTGTTCCAG